TAGGGCTTGCCTCTTGGGGTTGCTCTCTCTCTGTCTCCATCTCTCTCTCTCTCCTCCCAGTCAAGCTCATCCTGCACTTCATCAACTCCTTGGGGAGCGGACACTTCTTGTCTAGCAGCCAAGGCGCCACTGTGACCTTGGCTTCTTCGGAAAGAGGCCTTGTTTAGTGGCCCCATTGGCTTTGAATTTCCATCTCGGGCCTCACCCTAACCCCATTATCTGTGTATATTTCAGTCACCAAAGTGGCAAAAGGGAGTGCACTCCTCTTCATATCACATCCCTTCTTCATTTCACTCAAGATTAGTGAGGGGAGGTTGATGTTATGCCCCCTTCCAAGTGCATAGTAGCAGACGGGCCATGTCAGGTAAAATCTCATTTTTTCATCTTATGGGGGCGAGATTAGGCACCGCAATCAAGTTTAGCATCTTATATTTATCAGTGAGCTCCCCTTGTTTTAAAAATCTCTTCCCTTCCCAAGAAAAGTTAGGCATTCCCAACAACTCCCTCCCAACCACATTCATTGCTACATTCTTTCTCGGGGGTTACGTCGGGTTTTGCACCCGAGGCACTTCTTGCCTCACTTCCTTAATATACGCTTCATCCATGTCAATATGGGTCCCCCTCATGTACGTTCGGATTGCGTCATTGATGATCTCGGCGTTGGAGTAAAACTCCCACACCAAGTTAACAATGGCGTCTCCACCGTTTCGCAAAAACCATACCCAAATCCTCCTCTCCATCTCCACCAATATTCCCAACTACGCAAAATCAGTAATCACAACATCCTTCTCACAAACTACTGCATGATTTTGGAAGAAATTTTCATACCTTTCTGCCTTGAGGGCACTGGGAAATCGCATTCGATCATATCTTTTCACCACTAGTCTCCCCTCCCTTTCCTCAATCACTTCTTCTACAAAATTAGGCTTCTGATTTATCTAGTTTTGCCTGGTAGGTAGTTTAACTCTAGGCATGGTTTTGAGCTCAAGTGGATCTCTGAGAAGTCTTGATTTTCTTGTGGGATTGAGGTTTTTGATGTGGGAATGAGTTTGGGAGGGTCGATTTTAGGTGAAATTGGAGAATGAGAGGTGTTTTGGGGGCTGGGTATCACAAATAGGTTCTAGGGTTTGAGGGGTTTTGGAGGTTTTTGGAGATTTTGAAGTGGGGAAGACAATCCAGGCTTTTATAGCCTGAGAAGTAACGTTCGAACGTGTGTTGAAGGATTTTTAAAAAGATAGTTCGAACGTGGTGAGCTCCCAGTACTTTCGAGTTCTGTCAAAGAGCAAAGTACTATAAGCTCTTCTCGTTCGAATGTTCCATTGGCGTTCGAACGCTTAGTTCTCGTTTGAACTGTCTATTGGCGTTCAAACGGGCTGAGCTCCCAGTACTTTTCATTTCCATAAGAGGCTTAATCAGAGGTTGAGTACTACAAACAACTAACGTTTGAACATCACTTGGTGTTCGAAAGTGGAATCAAAAATCAAAAAAAATTTTGCACAACAATATACACAATAAGAGAGGGCTAAACACACAAGTTTGAACCAAAAATTCCATGGCGTCTCAAGACAACTTCCTATCCACGCTTTAGGTGGTATTTTGGGACATTCCTTACTCAGCCCATATTTTCATTTTAGTCAAAAGAATTTGCACAAAACAAAAAGGATTTTTACACTTTTTACAAAAAAATTCGGACCCTTAGCTTTCATTCCAACAAAACAGTTTTCCACAGAGAATAATCTAATCTGAGTCTCCCTTCGTATCCATGTAGTTAGAACAACCATTGACTCTCCCAATTTGCTCTCTCACAAATCGCTTAAGCATAGTACCGGAATAGCATGGCGTCTCAGGGTAATCCTTACTCAGCCCATTCACTATCCAATCTAGTCGATCAATTGTGCGATCGAAAATTGGTTCAGAATACTGATTATACCTTTTCTGGAGAAAGACTCTACCATACTGTTTACAGGCACCAAAGCCTTTTGGCCCGACAACGTTTAGCAAAAGTGCTTCTACCACAAAGGGGTTTCTTTTGATTTTCTCATTATCACCGTTTACACATCAGATGGAAAAGTGCATAAAAATCCTAGATTAAACCAAAAAAGTTTAACATTCATGATTTCTACTTTTTAAGACTCACTATCAGGTTCTTTAACGTCTGACAGTCACAAAAATGATCAAAGCTGACTCACAGACATCATCATCAATTTGTATAAAATACAAGACAGGGTACACAATATGATCAGAAAAAGCAACAACAAAAAAAAAAAATTTACGGGCATAGCAACAACAACAACAAAATGAAAAATTTTACAGGTAAAAAATATGAACTGTTCTCTCCCCCCAACCTAAACTGAACATTGTCCCCAATGTTTCAAATTTACTGATATGTTGAGCTTGGAGATGAGGTTGAAAAGTAGAGATCTGTTCATCTTCCGAAAACCTACAAGCAAAATATATAAATTAATCATCTCTCCGCAGATTTGGGTATTCGCTAGGATGAAAATCCTTGATTTTGAGTGCAGATAGAAGAAGAAGAGTCATGTACAAATAAAGTAAACACATGCAGATCATGAGACAAAGGACTGGGTCTTTGGGTAATATAGTCATGGAACTATTGGGAGTTGGGAGTTGGTTATAGAGGATCGCTAATAGCNAGTAAACACATGCAGATCATGAGACAAAGGACTGGGTCTTTGGGTAATATAGTCATGAAACTATTGGGAGTTGGGAGTTGGTTATAGAGGATCGCTAATAGCGAATAAGAAGAAAAAGAAGAAGAAGAAAAGAGAAAAAGGTAAGGGACAGAAGGGTGTGGTAAGAGAGGAAAAGGGGGTGGGGAAAAAGAGAAAAAGGGGGGGATGCCTTATAAAGGCATCTGCTCAGGTTTGTTTTTATCGAGTTTTTTCTGACCATACCCTTTTTTGTGTCGACAGGCACAATTCTCGGAGGAATTTTCTAAAGAATGGTTTCCACATTTTTAACAAAATCCTCCAAAAATGGTTTCAGCCACTGACCATTAACGGTAAAGGTATTACCGTTCGAGGGATTTTTCACTTCTACTGCTCCATGTCCAAACACCTTTTTATCAAATGTAAGGCTCTGTCCATCTTGATTTCAACTTATCGGGGAAGAGGCGGAGTTTTGATTTAAACAACAAGACTTTTTGAGCAGGTTCAAAAGACTTCCGCATTATGTTCTTTTCATCAAAAATTTTCATCCTGGATTTCTCAATCTTAGCATTCTCATATGCTTCATTTCTCAACTCCTGTAGTTCGTTAATTTGCAATTTTCTTGAAAGTCCAGCCTTGTCCAATTCAAAGTTCATTTCTTTAATGGCCTAGTATTCCCTATGCTCCAATTCCACAGGTAGGTGACAAGGCTTTCCATAGACTAATAGATAGGGAGACATGCCCAAAATTATTTTAAAAGCAGTGCAATATGCCAAGCCCCAACTGTTCTTTAGCAGCCTTGCGTGTCTGCCTCTTCGCTGCCTGAACATCAAGTGTCTCCCTAATCTTCAATGTACTTGAAAATAAGCAGGGAAAAGTAACAGCCACCTGCAGGCACTCAAAAGTAGAATATGAAGGAGAGAAGTTAGGTATAAAACCAAAGAAGAATGCAAGATATATCCCTGGATCTTGAGAGGCAACCTCCTCAATCTCCACATGAGTCAAAAACCCCCAAAGCCACTCCTTGGCCAGTTTCACATCCTGCAACATGGATACTAAAGTACTGCCCAAAGTAGGATGGCTAGGCAGAGCCTCCGTCCTAGTAGGAGACCGCACCGGGGCCTCAGCCCCCACAACAGTACTAGAACTATCTCTAGGGGGTGAAGGAACAACAATCAGAGAATAACAGTGGGCATCAACAAGTTCCACCCCTCAGGGACTAGCTTGGGCGGTGGACCACGACTGAGTAGTACCAGGGGCACCAGACTTCTCCCTCTTAGAAGAAGGAGGAGAAGGAGCCGCCCTGGAAGCATAGATAGCCTCCACCACAGCTCTGTCAATGAAGGTACTTGCAGAATCAGTGTAAATAAAAAGCCTACGACGTTGTAGCCATGAAGAGTTTACTGAAAAGATCAAATACCTTTCCCCTTTGGCCTAGGTTAAGCCTTGGAATGACTAGACGCAGACATGATCCTTAACACCTCCTTGAATGAATGGTCGCGTACCATGTGGAGTCTACCTTTTTGCTCTGCAGATAATGTTGGTGAAGCTTCAAAGAAGCCAATTGCACAGCAAGAGCAAATATGCGACAACTAGAAGTAAAATCAAAAGTGGATTCCTTACCTAGCTTGGTCTTGGGGACAGTATCCCATCTCGAGGGCACCAGGTCAAGATAACTCTCGGAGGCCCACTCGCCTCTAATAAAGAAGAACTTGGTCTTCCAGTTATGACAGTTTGAAGGAAGCCCAGTGATAAACTTACCCGACCTTGGGGCAAAACGGTACCACCCCTGATGAGGGATGAAATTCTCCAAGAGCACATATGTGGCTTGGAAGTCCTGTAATGGGGGAGGGATGTCAGCACTATGGACCAGTCACCACAATGAAAAAAATGCCAGTATCACCCTCCATTCATTGGGAGCCAGTCTCTTGGGGGCTAGCAACAAGTGCCCCAAAACCTGAAATATAAGCCTAGGTATCAGGAACCTCAAGCCCACCTCCAAGATGTCCTTATAAAGGACTATCTCGCTAGAGGAGTCACAACATGCTGACTCGGCCCCCTTAGCGCGATGACACATCACAACAGGGGGAATGCGATACGAGGATATTATACTTGCAATGTCCTCATCATAGTTAACAAGGCTAAATATAGAGGCTACCTTTGGGCCATTATCTCCATCAGTCCCCATGCCTCGCTCAAAGTCTTGAGTAATCTCCTGCTCGCTCGAATGGACACCTGTCAAAATAAAATCAAGCCAGAACTAAGAGAGTACCCTTGCCAATGAAGGAATAAATCTGAGCACCAGATAACATATCTCGAGAGCTCCTTTGTTCAGATCACTGCCTGGCCATTTTCTCGCACTACCCAGGCGTAAAAGGTACCACTGGGCTTACACGCATGCTTCTTGGAGTTGCTCAAAGTGCCTGAACCTCCACCAACACCATCCAATGCATCCAAGTTACCATTGTCGCTTGGTACAAAGACCTACGCCGATAGCGCCGCCTAGCGCATAGCTGGCATTACCCAGCTCCTCATGGGCCTCCTTGTGGTTAAGTTGCACTTGGGACGCTGCCCACACCTCCTTCGCCATTTTTTGTGCAATCCATGTCCTTGGAATCCTTAACAAAGGACGCAAAACCGGCCCCATGGGCGCCGCCCCTAAGGCCAATGCCTTGGGCTCCACCTTCGTGGCCAGACCCATGGGCACCGCCTATAAAGCTAGTGCCATGGATGCCACCTTTGAGGCCAACACCATGGGCGCTGCCTTCATGGCTAGCCCCATGGGCGCTACCTCTGCCTCCAAAATCAACCCCATGGGCGCTTACCTCTACCTGCAAAATCAGCCCCATTGGCACTTCCTCTAACTCCAAGATCTGCACCATGGGCGCTACCTCTAATGGCGGCGCCTAGACCATGGGTGTTACCTCTTCCACTTTGGGCGCCTCCTACACTACTGCCTAGACCATGGGTGTCGCCTCTTCCACTTTGGGCACCTCCTACACTGCCGCCAAGACCATGGGTGTTGCCTCCTCCACTTTGGGTGCCTCCCATGGTGCCAAATGAGCTACAGGCGATGCCCCCTCCGCCTTGGGCATCTCTCATGCCGCCGAATGAGTCATGGGCATAGACCTCTCCACCTTTATCATTGTCTTGAGCCAAATGGGCGCCACCCATGGCGCCATCCGCTCCATCTTGATCGCGGCCCACAAGAAAATGGGCACCTCTTGCTCCTTCTCCACCTCCGATGCCGCCCATATCTTTTCAACTGCCAGTTACTTTCTTCTTCGTGGGATCACCATTGAAGCCCTCTCCTACCTCCTTCAAGTTCATAACTCTCACGGTCTTGGTTTGATTTGGTGGAGATAAGATTTGGGGATAATAGCTTCTAGGAGAAGCCTCTAAGGAAAAGAGAATGGCTTCTAGGAGAAGCCTCAAAAGAAAGTAGAAGGGGAAATGAAGTGGGGGAGTCTAAAGGCCTCTCTATATATAGGCGAGATTCTTTCAAGACCCAACAAAAGGAATGCAGAAAAATGCAAAATATACCCAATGACAGTAGATTCAATAGAGTTCTTGAAGATGAAAAGGCACCATGGGGAGTAAGAAAACTTCTGCTGATCCAAGTGAAGAAGCATCTCATGCCCTCAATCCCCTTCTCTCACAAACAGTGAAAGTCTTGGGGCATGAGGGCAAATGATGAGCCCAAATCCGACTAGGCCAGGCCCAATTAATCAAGCAAGTCCAAGTTAGCCAAAAGGCAGCCCAAGCTCACTTCATCAATCCAACCCAATTCAAGATCAGAGAAGCCTAGGAAGATAAGAGTACGTGGGAGAAAGATTATCAGGATTCGCACTCATGAAGATGAATCCTACCTTAATTGTACTTACCTTTTGTAACTATCCTCCTTGAGGAAGTAGTGTCCTCACACTCATGTCACCGCCTTACCTCACCGCCTCNAAATTCAAGACAAAGGGTTGTCCACATTATGATGCATTGTGTAGAATCTATGGTGACGCAACAACAACTGTTGAACATGCTTACCCTTCAACCAAGCCTCTCTTTGATGATCAACATGACCCCAATTATGACTNCAGGATTCGCACTCATGAAGATGAATCCTACCTTAATTGTACTTACCTTTTGTAACTATCCTCCTTGAGGAAGTAGTGTCCTCACACTCATGTCACCGCCTTACTATACCCATATATTGTAAGCTTTCTCCATATGGAGAAACACACATCTCTAAATCTTGGCACCTCTCTACACCTCCCTGCACACATAGCTTCCCTCTCCTAACTAGTGTAACTCTCCCAGAGCATACTCTCCAAGAGCTCTCTTCCTATTACTTTATTCATCAATAAAGCCTCCTGGCCACCTCTGAAATTTCCTGAGAGTGGAATAGGTCACCTAGACCGAACGACTATATATTTGTGTGTTAATTTCATATTTACTGTTTTGCCATTGATTGATTTATTTACTGTCTATTAATTAAACATCTTCACATACTCAACTGTTGATATTATACCAAACCAATTTGTGCATCATCAATTATTAATTTTGTTCTCTTTGAGAGAGTATTCTTAACTCCGGTACACCAAATTTCTTTGAGTATTGATGTTGGTCATACTTTTAATGCATTCCATTGTGTCAGACTTTTGTGGTTGCTTCAACTGTTTGTCTGTACTGTCAAAATAAAACCTTAGGTTCTGTTTGGTAATGGTTTGATTTTCAAATTTTTTCGTTTTTGTTTTCAATTTTTTAGAAAACTTGAAACTTAACCTTGTTTGGTAACCATTTTCATTTTTTTTTAAACTAAAATCATTTTCAAACTTGCCTCAGATTTTGGAAATGACAAAAATTCGTTCCCAAAAAAAAAA